TTGTTGGTTGATCAAGACTTTTCATGTCATGTCAGTTGTTTTCAAGCCGAGCCCCTTGCTGAGAAGTAGCAGCGCCATCGGGCAGATGGCCTATATGTGGAAGTAGTTTTTTTCTGGGGAGGGCGTGGACAGGTGCTGGTGAAGCTTCTTGCAGCAATCCTCTCAGAAATCAACACAAATTTTGGTTGAGAACTGCTGGCTTGCCTCGCAGCTTGGAGTGTGGCCTGTTGAACACTAGCTGTACGGGGCGTGGATGATCACCATGAACATTACTCGCGCCATCGTTTTTGTCCGATGATTTTTCATTTTCCCGCAGCTTTTTGGTATCAGTGTTCCTCGAAGCTTGCAACAGCAGCTTTTGCTGCAGGGCGCAAGCTACATTTTGCCGCTTGTGGGTGCGTTTTGAAGGATAGATCAGGCGCATGGTTGAGTTTCGGTTGGTTTGGCATGGAGCCATTCGCCGTGGATGGGGTCGCTGCGGTCTTTCCGAGAAATTGCCCGAATGGCTTTTCACCAAACATCCTGGGCCTCCACCCAACTGGCAATCCAAGCCAGTTCCAAGTTTCGGAGCTCATTTGCTCATCTTCCATTCTGAGGATCCCTGCGCAGGCTTTGTTGTCGTTCAGGGTTCGTAGTGCCTTGGGTCTGCCAAGCTGCAAGGACGTTCAAGGTTGCGCGTGAGGTGGCAGAGATACCCTGCAGCGTTTAGGTTGGGCAGCGTGTCAGGCACGCAAAGTAATTGCACAATCCTACGGCCCTAGACTTAGATAGCTGACCCCTACACCGAAGGAAGATCGTAAGATTCTTCCAGGAATTGAATGGGGGGGTTCTACTCCAAGATGGTGCTTACACTCCGCCACTGCTAGGCACAAGGCGATCATCGTCAACCCGGACGGCCTCAAGTGCCTCGGATGGAAAATGCTCGATGAACTTGGGCCGTCTTGTGTGCTTGGGATTTGGCAACCTATTGTGTGCTGCTTGGGATTTTCATGCTTGCTGGGAGGAAGGGAGAAGTCACCTAACATACCCTAAGACAGTTGGCAGCTTGGAGTATCTAGATGCCCGCGAGCATTCCGCGTTCCCTCCAGCGACTAGGTGCGAGCCCAAAAGCTGTAGAGCTTCAGGCCCCTGACAGGCCCTAAGCCCTGCGCTTAGGTGTCCCTTTGTCGAGAAGAAGCTGCTTCGGAAAGCCCGTGCCTTCCTTGGTCATTGGCTCAGGAGATCTTCAGCTCAGAAGATTTGTTTGGGATCGTGATGTTCAAGAGGCCCGCAAGAGACCAACCCATGCTTATTACAGTAGGCGCAGCTGGGTTTTGCAGATGCGCGAGGACTGGGGAGCATCAAGTGAAGTTCTGGTCAGCTTGAAGACACATGACCCAGCGCAGGTTAAGCTGTAGTTCCCATTTTGCACATAGATCTATTTCTTGTCTGAGAGCTTGCAGCGTGGCTTCCAAACCTAGAGACCTAGAGCCGTCGACCATCTTCCACAACACATCAGCCAACGCCTGAGTTCTGGCGTCAGTTTCTGACAATTTTGTAATGCAGAACTGCAGAACTGAAACCCAACGCTGAACATCTTGGTTTCAAGTCTAGAATTTAAGCTATCCCAAATAATAGTAATACTATTAATAACAAGAAAAATAGAAATAGTAATGATAATACTAGTAATAATAGTCTTGAGCCCGGAGCCTCCGACTGTGGCCAGGTCTACGTCTACCCACATCGAATTTCAAGGGCTGAGGCTCTGCAGATGCTGCCACGGACCATGGGTGGGCCGAAAAAGTAGTGCGTCGAGGCATAGCGCCACCCAGGGCAGCATTCCAGGAACCTTAAATCTCCCCTTACTACCCTAGGTTATCCTATATCATGCCCCTGCATTAGTGATTTCCATTTTCTTTTTCATTATCCTTATATATATATATATAACCCCAATAATATCCCTATAATCCCTATAGTTTCCTATTATCCCTACGTAACCCCTGGAATGAGGGTAAGGGTCTTTTTGCCTTGGCTCTACAGCGCTGAAACCCTAAACCCTAAATTACCAAATCCCGGGCATGAGCTGCTCTGCAGTTCCCCCGAGGGTTTCGATAAGATGTGAGCCATAGTCTTAACTCTTTTAAGGGGGGTTATATAAGGGATTACATAGGTGGCTACTATAGGGTTTTTTCAAGGGGGGTACTGGGAGTTTAGACAATGATTCATGTGAGCTATAGTCTAAACTCATAGCATCCTCCTTAACAACCCCCATAATACTCCCCTATACAATACCCTGTATAACTCCCTTTAAGGAGTATGGCTCATGTCAGTCTTAGTGTAGTCCATGCCCAAATTGGCCAAAGCGCCTCATAACTTCCCACATCAGGGTTTCCCTTCAAAGAAAGACCGTCCGACCAGCCTTTACTGGTCTACTGCACCCTGATAATGAGCTTTGGAGTTTGTTCAGTGTTTGAACCCTCAAGCACGCAAGTCTCAGGACTCAACATTCTGTCGCATGTGTGGCCCAGATCATTTCAGACATTTAGTGTGCGACACCGTTTGCCATGGCGCGCAACAAGGTGCCTCATGTAGCTTTTAATTCTCAAGCTGCCCAGCGTGTTTGGTGTTTGTGGCATGTGCACATGTTCAAGTCACGTGGGCAGGTGCGGGCGCTCGTTGCCCATTTCGAGGCAGGGTTTCATTGGTCCGAGGGATGCTTGTCGCATAGCAGCGGCATTTGAGATGGTACTTGGGGGTTTAGGACTTAGGTCAAACCAAAGTCATTCACAGGATCCTGCAAGAAAATGGTCAGCAGTGCCATAGCCTACTGCTCGTTGCAACAGTCGGTGTCAGCATCAAATGAGCTCCCGTCTTTCCACGGGACCATTAAGGGTGCACATACGGATCCCTTTGGTAGTTTAGTACAGTCCCTAGATATTTTCCCGGACGCGGACCCCTGTTCATCAAAGATAGTATGGGACACATTAACCCCGATAGTCCCTACACAATTTTTCTCTTCCACTTGATTCTTGAGGTAGTCCCCCTAGCCTGAAACTCATGTCCATCAGTTGCAACGGAAATGTTGACCCTAAACCCTTAAGCCCTAAACCCTTAAGCCCTAAACCCTGAAACCCTAACCCTAAACCCCTAGACCCGAAACCATGAAGCCGCGTGGCTTGAGTGCTGATTGCAGGACATCATAGCGGCCCACAAGACGTCGCAGGCAGGGCTGGCATTGTTCTCATGCGCTGTTAAGGTTTGGGGTTTAGGATTTTTACCCGATTTTTACCCCAGCTATGGGATATTCAACAGGATTAACATGGATGAGTTGAAGTTTTTCTTCCCCGCAACGTTGCCAGGCAAAGCTTGAAGTGCGCAAGGCTTGGAGCGTCAGTGAGATGGATGTCGCATGCGCAGTCAAGAAATTTCGAGGGTCTATGTAGTGCTGGTTGGGTTTTCTATGTGGTTTCAAAAGCGTGATGTAACTACGTTTTGGTTTGTTTTGGACGGTGCAGGCTTGTCCACGCTCAGGTGAGATCTGAATCCGACTCAAGAAAAGCAGCCACCTTCCGATGAGTCCCCATTTGTTATTGTATCCGAGGATGTGTGTATAATATCTATATATATATAATATTGGTTACCATTACTTTTGGAATTAACCACTGAATCGAAGAAGTGCCGGATAATGGGAGAGTCCAGCAGGTAGATTGCTACAACAAAGTGCTAAAGGCATTCCTGACATTCCTGACAATTTTAGCTCGTTACAGGGCAGGGGGTTATATAGAGGAGCTTGAAGGGGAGTATTGTAGGGGTTATTGAGGGGGATATTAGGAGTTTGGACTTTAATTCATATATCCCTATAAACCACAGTTTTAATTTAAATTTCCTTTTTCTTTCCCATTTCATGCCTCGTGCCGAGCCGAAACTCCACGAAGCAGTTTCTGCGGTAGTGTCGCAGGCGCCCCCGCTACAAGCCTGCCTGCCCAGCGAGCCCAATATAGTTTCATTAAGGAATATAACTTTAACCATATTAAGGGTCCTAGTATAATTCAAGATGTATCCCTTAATGAAGCTATATTGGGCTCTCTGGGTTCTGGCGACCCTGAATGCCTCCTGTTACAAATCGGATGGTAGTTTCCATTTTCTTTGCCTTTCTTAATACACAACCCCCTATATGATCCCTATGTAATCCTCCCATTTTTCGTGACTTGCTAATAGGCCCTAGCCTACAAGACTCTGTGCCCTAAACCCTGAACCTGAAATCCTAAACTTCTGATCCGAAACCCTACGCCCCAAACCCTAAGCCCCAAACCCTAAACAAAACTCTGTGCCAGACCGGGACAGACAGTAGCCAGCTGGTCATCGCTGGGCACAGCGCCCGATGTCCTGGGAGCCTTTCCAACCATCCAGGCACTGCACGGAGGGTGGGGATTATCAAGGTGTTAGGTAAAGTTATAGGAGCTACTGCCAATTGTCAATATTTGGCTTATTAACACACCCTTATAGAGAGCAGAGGCTTGGGTCTCATTGTATTTGTTTGCCAGGGAGCCCAATATGGTTGCATCAAGGAACATACCTTGAACCATATCAAGGGTCTTAGTGTTATAGTTCAATCTAAGGTATATTCCTCAACTAAACTATATCGGGCTCTCTGGGCTCTGGCTATCCTACTTCAACATCTCCATTTCATGGTGAGTCAGAAGATCTTGCCTACGGACTCCTAGGAATCTGCTTGACTTCCAGCATCAATGAGCTGCAAGAGCAGAGTAAGTGTTCTCAGCAATGGCGTTCGGATTTGTAAAAGGAGGCATTCAGGGTCGCCAGAACCCAGAGAGCCCAATATAGCTTCATTAAGGGATACATCTTGAATTATACTAGGACCCTTAATATGGTTAAAGTTATATTCCTTAATGAAACTATATTGGGCTCGCTGGGCAGGCAGGCTTGTAGCGGGGGTGCCTGCGACACTGCCGCAGAAACTGCTTCGTGGAGTTTCGGCTGTTTTCGTTTCAGGTTCGGATATGGACGCTTTCTTCGACCCAGAGCCCGATGCACCCGGCAAGACTTACGAAAGGCCAGGATCTGCAGGAGAAAGGCGTTGTGACTGGGGTAAGATCTCTATATGATCCCCATATTATGACCCCAAGATATGTTAGCCTCAAAACATTCTGTGAAGGAAAGACGGCAAACTCCCTTCAGGCTTGAGCATTTCATCCCCAGCATCGAGCAGTTCGACGGAGAGTTCTTCGGTCTCAGCGAGATGGAACAGCGCAGCATGGCGCCGGCCTCAAGTCGGAAGAGCATTTCCTTTGATGACTCAGAGCTGCTTCTCCCAAGGGTCCGCGCCCGTGGCTCACACTGGAGATCACCTACGACAGAATGTTCTTTGCAGGCGTGAGATCTTTGGGCTTGTGTGAGCTGAGCATGTGTTTCTTTCATTTGAGGCCTGACAAAGGTGACCATAAATGGCCGGGACTGCGGCGTTTACGTTGGTTGCGCCACGCTCGGCGGAATCGAGCCGGACATTCTCGCTTGGTCGGCCGCAGTCCCTCGCTCAGAATTTTCCCGAAGCCTGATAATTATCCCCTTTCATCCTCGCTACGTGTAGTGTAATAACTGGCCTTTGGTTAGCTAGGACTGAGGGAATGTTTCCTTATAGTAGTCCCTATATATCCCATTATAGTCGTTTCCATTTTCTTTTCCATTCCTTCATTCCCACCCGAAACCAAAGACCAGATTACGTCGGTGGCGAAGGTGTTTTCGCTGGACTGCACCAGCCAGGCGCTGCGGCTCGGGCGCTGCCTCTCAGCAGCCGCAAGCGGCGTGAACCTGCAGCTGTCGGCGGCAACTTGGGCCTGCGCCCCAGAAAGCCTTTGCTAGCAGAGGGCACCATGATGGACCATGCTCAAGCTGCTTTTGCAAGGTGGCCTTTGCAAAGATGCTTGGCCTCGCCATGGACGGAAACTGCAAGACCTTCGACAGCTCGGCCGACGGCTTTGCGTGGGGCGAGGGCATGGGCAGCGGCCCCAACTTGAAGTATACTGTCACATATTTGAAGCTGTACTACATTATAACATACTATATTATATTCAAATATTCTATAAACGACAATAGACTGTAATATGCATAGCCCTGCAGGGACGCATTGAATGCCTCCGGAAAATCTTTGCAAGGCTTATTGGAGATGTCCCGCGACGCAATTTCGGACGGCAATATGCAGCAAGAGGCAGATGAGCTACTGTCAACTTAAGGGACCCTTTACAGTGGACATAGGGGCCCCTCTTGTAGTTTAGCATAGTCCCTAATAAAGTCCATAATGAGGAACCCATCTCTATTAGATTATATGGGGAAGCATTGACTGTAGGTCAGATGGGGTCTTGGTAAGAGGTTGCAAAGGGTACAAGATTCGAATCCACTCGCACCTTTGAAAGCAGCAGTCCACCATTGACTCCTTTAACCAACCATGGACCTAGAGTGCTGCTTCGTTGTCTTGTTGCGGTCTTGAAGCAGGCCCTGGTGGGCAGCAACATTGCTGCCGTCGTGGGCTTGTCCAACAATGATTGGATCCAAGTCCAGCTAGGCAACATCCGCCAACGCCTTGGAAGCAGCAGCATGCTATGAGTGCCGACTTATCATCCACTGTATTTGCGTTGAGAGCGTTTCCGAGGTGTGGCCTTCTGCCTCGGCCTGGAGGACCCGGCTTGCTGGTCATCTCTGGCCAGGGGCTCCAGCATGCAGCATACAGATTCGTAGTAATTGCCCGTTGATAAGTAGGTAGAAAACACAAAGCTGTAGGTACTTGTTCCCACTGTAACATGGTAGTTTCCATTTTCTTTTCCATCTTTCAATATAACCCCCCATAGGATACTGTTTCTATACTTTTCGTCCGCGGCCGTCAGCGCGGTGGCCAAAGCCAGCATCTCAGAGCAGAGCACAGCTCCCGAGCTCCACACTCTGCCTTTCAAGGTGATTGCCATAATCTAAGCTCCTCAAAATTCCTCAAAGGGGTTCACAAAGGGGCTATATAGGGGACTGTAATAGGAGTTGTTAAGGGGGATACTAGGAGTTTAGACTTTTGCTCAGGTCATTGCCAGCCCCGCCACGTTCATCAGCTTCGGCAAGCCCTGGATGCCGGGATCCCGTTGGCCAATGCGGTTAAGCAACCCCTCCGTGCTGAATTTGCTGCAAGGCTTTCGCGCCGGGGAAGATGCCGCGGAGAGGGTGCAGGAGACATCTGCTGACTAAGCTGTTGGAAGTCCCTATGTGTATGTAGCTCCCCGCCAAAATACCAAGCAGCACTACCAGCCTGTGTCGACAAACTGAGGGCCGTGCAACCAACCCGTGTCTCACTGACATGCGGTACCCTCCACAGTGCGCAGTCTTGACAGGGACGAACATGCGCATCAACCAGGAACAGTAAACTTGGGCAACATTGGGGTTGCCCTAAAGGCTTGTTTTCAGAACCCCCCGCCATTTCTAAGCAGGGGGCGACAGAGAGATTCGCAAGCAGCAAGGAGCCTTGGCCTTCTGCCCAATGTCTCAAGCCCACGGACTGGCCCGCGTGGATGCCTCAAAAGTCAGAGGTAGAAGGTCCTTTTGTTGCTCCTTGATCCTTTGAAGGCCCTTCCCCCGTGTTTCTCTGTGAGCCACTGGATATTTTTTCTGTGCTAAGGCATTCCTGAAGGGGTCAGCGGTGAACCAGGACGGCCGAAGCTCCAGGATGACTCTGCCCAATGGACCCTTGCAGACCCTGGCAGTGGCCACAGCGCTGTCAGAGGCGAGGCTGCGGCACCACGAGGCTGGGAAGAGGGCACGAAAGTACTCCACTCGACTGAGCCACGCAGCAGCAGCAACAGCAACGTAGCAGGGATAATGGAAAACAACATGGAAACTACTGTGCTTAAACCCGTGCTTAAAATTGCTTAAACCCAAAACCCTAAACTCTAAACCCTAGCTTCACCAGGTACTGAAGACCCTGGTCCTGCTGTGTTCGCAACGCAGCGCCGCAAGCCCAGCAGCCCAAGAATCAAGACTAGACAGAGGGCGTAGGGGTTTAGGAGCAAACTAGTTCATCCTGTGAGGCTCTGGCGGTGGTCCATTTGCACAGCTTGAATCCACGCCTGAGCTTGCTTGAGGAGGTGGGGGGGTTCTTGGGATGTTTTCCATGAGGAGCTTGTGTGTGAGAGTGATCTTGAAAGGTTTTCCCCACGGAGCATGCCCCGCTTTCCGGGCGCTTGGAGCGCTTGGAGCGCTTGGCCGGTGGCCTCTCCTCCTTTGGATTCGGCGGCACCAATGCCGTAGCACACATGGAGGAGGCCAAGGGCAAAGGCGTGGAGGCATCCCTGGACCCAGGACGGGCGTAGATTTCAAGAGATTTCGTGCTTTCTCAGCTTTCAGGGCACTCTACTCCCAAAGATCATCCTTGCATAGAATGATGGTAAACCCTCCAGACCCACATGACAGGAGACAAGACTCCAAAGCTCCCAGAGCCCGAAGATTTGCAAGTGCTTTGCAGCCGCATCACGGAGCCCGTGGAGACGAAAATCGGCTGCGAGGCCATCCACTCCGTGGGCCTGTGCCTGGGCCCCATGTTTCAAGTTGCCCGGAAATTGTGGCGAGGCGATTCATCTATTGGGAAGACTGTGAGTGGCTTGAAGATCTTTGGTGGTGTTGGCAAGGTGACAGTTGCGCGCCAGGAGAGCTTTTCCAGGTTCTCAGGCTACTGGGTGCATTTGCGGATCACGGAATCCTTGGAGTCTTCCCAGACCTTCAACTTCTCTGTGCTCGCAGATGACGGCGCGCTGATGTCCGTGGAGTTCAGGGCTGTGAAGCCCGAACAGATTCAGATGGCCATCGCCGTGCAGGGGACCAAAGAAGACGAGAAGATCTACGACATGGACTGGTCAGAATGGTCACAGTCCCCGAGCGAGGCGAGCGATGACAAAGAGCCCATGAAGCTCCTCGCTGCTGCTGACACCTCGGACCTCTTTGAATTCACCCGAATCCTGCTTGCCTTTGGGGGCGCTGCCCGAAGCTTTGTGCTCGAAGGCTTGTTGGCGATCCTGCACGTGCTGCAGGCTTTGGTCAAGGGAGTCAAGCGCCTGGTAAAGACGCTTGCAACGCAGGGTATGGCGGCACGTGCCAGGACCTCGGAGTCCAGCATTGCACTG